CAGGACAAGATACAGTGTCAACCGTTGCAAACAAATTCGATTTTAACAATGTTCTTGATATTACTAGTGTCCAGCCGTTAGAGAATAGTAATCTACGTTCTTTAAACGTTATATCTAATGCAAAACGAAGAAGAATCATGCCCGTTTAGCGGTGTAAATGCGATCGAAAAATTTTGCAACAGGTTGTGGCCCGTAAGAGGTTGCGGTAATACAGGCATTACTAATTTTATTAATTCAGGGGTTCTGCACTATTGGGTCCATGCATTAAGTCCTGAGGGACAATTTGAGACTAATGACGTTCATTTTCAGTGCTTAATTACTGAGATATTAGCATTTTTCCATCACTAGAAATTTTCACGCACCTGCCGATATAATTTGGCTACCAGTTTGAGCGAATTGCCGCGGGTGGCGCCACCAGTCAAAAAAATAATGGTACTCCGCGATTAAATGCGATTTTAACAGTGTTCTGGTCGTTTATTGTTATTGTCAATAACAGTGGATTAAACTTCGTTCTTTCAGCTATAAATCGAGTATTTTATCTACACGAAAGTTATGCGTATAACCGTGTAAGAGCTATTTAAAGTAAACTAACCCGGGTACGCATGACGCGATACAGTGTCAACCGTTGCAAACAAATGTGATTTTAACAATGTTCTTGTAATTACTATTAAATTGTCTTCTAGTTAAGTGAAAAAATATATACTTTTCCGTTTCATGCTTTATCGGTAACGTCGGGTATTGACATTAAAATGGTAAGGGGGCTTCTGACGCCCTTGAAGCATGGGACAGAAAATTACATTGCATGTCAGGTATATTCATATATCTCGTCTGTGCTTCCCCATGCTCCGGGGGTTTTATGGCCCCATCATCTCACACACTCACGGGGTTTCTTCTGCATGCTCCGGGGGTTCTATGACCGCACCTTCTATCACACACGGTTTAACCGTTTTGTGTCCCTAGGGTATCTTCGGCAGCGTCAACTTACAAAAACTAAATATCTCTATTAGGCAGCAGAGATGTCGTTACAATGCGTATCTGACGTTATCTTAGCGATATCATATTCCAAACAACTATTCGATCCTCTCATAAGATTATTGTAAAGATTATCTACAAAATGCAGTTATCTGAATGATATCTCTCTGGTAACTATTTTCAGATATCTGTAACAATGACTTTCTTCAGATGTATTACGGACATCTGTAGATGATACTGACTAACTGGGCACTTAAGTTCCTTAACTTCTTGTTTCAAGAATATAGCAAGTCCAGGCAAGTTGAATAAATATAGATACTAATAGTGGACGATAGGTGGTGCTAAGAAACAGCAGCTTATGTACGTGGATTTCTGGGCAGTTTCGTGCTCATAGATGCTCGGAGCAGCTCTGAATGCTTAGTGCATTCGGAGTTTGGTGGGGTAACTGTGACATCAGGACGCATGTTTCGTACTATCGAATATGCCGAGTGATAGGTGGTGAAGTAGTCTTAGTCTGTTATGCACTGGGCATCGAGGATATTGACGGTATCCTCGCGTCACACAATCGGCACGTTGTTATTTGTAGGTGTCAGTCTTAAGTTTTGTGATGCATACCACGATTTCACACGAACTACCTGAGAGATTCGACTCTGAAAAAAGAGGTAAGTCTACCATTAAAAATTATTGTTAATAGAATAATTTGATCTATTGCTTCGTCGTGTTTACGCAGAACGTGAACGAAATCCCATGGAGATGAGCACTTCCCAATCATACTAGGTACATTCTCCAAGTTTTTAGCTGCATCTTTGAATTATTAAAAGTACGAATATTGGTGCTTATTGGCAATAAGTACATCTTTATTTTTTTACGAAGTCAGTATTTGTTTCTGCGAAACTTAAGGATATAGAGTTACATAATTGTAATGACTATCCGCATACATTTCACAGCATTTTTACCTAGCAAAGAATGAGGAAAATATTTTAATTTAGGATATATGGCTTATTAAAACATGGCTAATTAAAAAAATATTGGATCATTTATTGGTACACCTAATACAACGTATTCTTTGAAGATGCATGCCATATCTAACAATTTACATTTATGACGTACTAAATCAATCAGCAAGCAAATCAACCTTGCTGGCTGTATGGTTCTTAGGAATCGACGGAAACGTCAAGAAACTGACGATTTCCATTACAGAGTATAGATCCTCTATAACGTACCATGTTTTTACAGTAACAGAATTTGAATCTTATCAAAAGGAAGGTATCAAGAAGGGAGCATTATTGATTAGAAAAATAAAGTTACCCCTAAAAAAGGGGTGGTAGAAAACGGCCAAATTTATGGTTCTCCCGATATCAAACATATTTATTAATAAAATATTATTCTGTAAGTTCTGAGGAATTAAGAAATTATAACTATTTACCAAAAATACCATGAGAAAGTGGTGAAAAAAGTATGTGAAAAGGAAAGTGCATACAGCAACAATTTGGAATTTGTTGACTTTAAATAATAATAACTTTTAAACAATTGTTATTTGTAAAAAAAACTATATTATAGATAAAATTTTATATTTTTATCGTACATAAAAAAGCAACGCGAAAAACACTAATTAACAGCCCCAGAAAGCGGTCAATTAACGATACAGATATTCAGGAAAATGAGTTTACAATGTTACTGTAACTTATTTATAAAACAAAACATGTTGAACGTATAAGAATTGTTTAATCGAAAAATAATCATTGATAAAGCTTGCGGGTAAATGTATAACTTGGTTGATGCGGTGCAAACGCAAAGATCGAAAGATCGTAATACAGTTGCTACAAGCAAGCTGCAATTCACAACGTGTTGGTCAATTATACCTTCAAACACATATCTCCAATAATTGATCAAGTCCACTTTTAGTCTTATCTAGCAATACATAAACAAAATTGAATACAGTAGAGCCTTTCTTATCTAGACACCCATTATTCAAATATCCTAATATTTGAATTAAATGTCCTCTAGCAACGCATGCTTTCTCCTGTTGTAAATATGTAGTGTTTACATACAACGTATAACATTTTTCTATTCAATTGACTTTTAAGCACTTATGTGGAAAAATTTGTGTGATTTAGCAGTCAAAAAAATATGTGATCCACAAATATTTAAACTGTCAATTTTCAATGATCTCTATTTAAATATGAATGTTGAATTAGAAATGTTCAGTTCGGGAAAGCGATTCTATTCTATTATTCGAACGCTTATGTCTCTCTATTAGGTCGGATACGAAAAGCTCTACTGTACTTCACTGTCTTCATGTGGCGCAAGCGTAACTGTGTTTCAAGTAGAATACAATTGGCGGAATCTTGATTATTATTATACCTGCGATAATTGATAGGTCAAGAAGCTGTTGCTATATGAAATTAAGAATAATCAAATCGTAAGAATAATAAGACTTTGATGTGTATACTCAAACAGAGATCATAATTCAGGAAAGAAATCGATTGATGCAACTTCAATGCGGTGAAATTGTGACCGACGTGCATTCAAGTTATTATTGCGAACTAATTCTGACAGATGATTATATTTCATTGGATATTTAAGTGTCCTGTTTATACTTACATTGTCAAGATATAATTGTCCATATTCTCGATTTGTTCAGAACAGCGTCTTAGAATCCTACCATGGTTGGTTCCTATTCGTTTCACCGTAGAAGTCGGTGTTTCTAACGTAAGGTACCATGTACCCTCACGAGCAAACTCGAATTCCACTAGGGGAAAAGGTAATGTAGGAGAAGGGCCTCCTACCACTTGGTAAATTTATTTCAAGTACTAAAATAAATGTTAAATCGAATGTTAATTTGACATGTATTTCAATAATTCTCGATACCAAATGGCAGGAGATCCTTACACTTACATTGCTTTTTCCGTTAGTGGAAACCGAGTTTGCTAGTGGGTGTACACCGGCGAGCAAACTCGGCTTCCGGTAGGGGGAAAAGTAGCGTAAGAGAAAGACCTCCTACCATTTGGTAAATTTATTGCAAATACTGAAATAAATGTTAAACTGAATGTTAATTTGGCATAAATTTCAGTAACTCCCAAAACTAATTGGTAAGAGACCCATCGCCTACATCACTTTTTCCCCTAGTGGAAGCCAAGTTTGCTCGAGAGGGTACCTACAAAACTAAGCGTTCCCTCGTCGAATGAAAATCACTGGACCTGAGTCGCTCGCATTAATTCAGATTCAGACCTTATTGTAATGCGTTGTATTGTATCTAATATGAAGGGTTTAAAGAAAAAAAAAGACACTCGACCCGATCCATGAGGAGTGTTGACGGCGTTCGTGGCGAGTTTTGATATGAAGAGAGATTTACTTTTTTCCAGTGTTTTTGCGACATCTACACAGCAGACCAGGCATAGGGCCAGGAATTTTGTTTCTGTGAGTAAACCCGAGTGTTCTGCAATGCGACTTTCATCTACTTCTGTAATGCAGTTGGTAATAGAAGGTTAAGGTGCTAATTCTTTTTCTATATATTCTCTTTTCACGGTGAATTAACATGATCTTTCGCTTCCTTTTTTTTTTTTGGTTTTAACTTTGTATGAAGTGATTGAAGGTGACAGAAAATTTTATTTTTGTATACTAATTTATGGCTTGTGGTGACGTGGTTCCGGTTGGTCGAACTCGTTTTTAATTTTCAATTATGTTGGCGGATTCAAGTGCATGACTAACCCAATCGCATATGTACGCACTCGGTACAGACGCGTGTACCGGTTTCAGAATTATGTAAGATTTAACAGTACTCGATTGAACAAACGGTTTTTTTTTTCCTTTAGAATCGTACGGAGCGCTGAGAACGCGTTGCGCTAATATGTAAGTTTCTCTCTGCTCGGGGCATCGAGCTCTCGATATTTCGGTCACTATCGATTGCAGGATGTGAAACCTGGGTTGAGTCCTCTATCTGAACCATCACGTTGCGCATTGTGTCGTCGCATTCTTAAAACTCGTTTTTCCTAGTAACTAGGTCTGACGGAAGGTCTTGACGTTCGTGTCCTTCATTTAACTTAGAATATACTTACTGTAATCATTAATTTTCGATATAGTCATCGTCATTTTCTATAACCATGCTCCACTTTTTTGGTGAATAACCAATTCTTCTTAGTCAAGAAAAATTCCGATGACTTCAAAAACTTTGGAAAGAAAGAGTCTTTAAACGTTCAAATCGTTAAGTCAAATATTTGTGGATTAAATCTTTTCTTGTGCTACCAAAAGACGTAGAGCTATGAAAGCAGACAGTTTTTATTTAATTGTATTATTTATTGTAATTGCAGTACAATTCAGTTCCGAGGGTAAAATAATTCTTTGTTCATCGATTTTAACAGATACCGAACTAAAACCGGTAGTATGTACTTGTAAAGTGTAGGAAGTTTAGGCATATTAATTTCGATTAATACGGGATTATCATAGATAAATGAAGGCTCGTGCATATGAAAAATTTGAAACTTCCTAAACACTTGCATCGAATCTGTGCATTCGGACGCGTCGAATCGGGCCAATGCCATTTATCGTCCCACATCACGGAATCATGGCATACCGGTACCTTTCACCATTGATTTGATGTATTTAAGGTCAAATACCTCGTTGGGATCCTACCTCTCACCTGTATGATTTAGATCACCTACGAGTAGCGGTACGATAATATCGTTCACCATTTTCAATAAAATATAACTAGTCCTAAAAGTGAAGAAAATAAGTTCGTGACAATCGACAATTTAAATATTTATGAATTTTTCAAGATAAATGCCTAGAGTTTGATCGATCAGAAAAACGTATACATCGTATGTAAACATTACATATTTGCAACAGGTGAAGGCCTGCGCTGCTAGGGGGCAAGGTTCGGATAAAAGAACGTTTGAATAATAGAATATTCGAATGATAGGGTATTCGGATAATGGGTGTTCAGACACGGCAGGCTCTACTCTACAGTATATGTATTGTACTTCATTGAACTCGTCTCAAAAGAGGCTTTCATACTATAAACAAAAAGGTATGGCGTTCCATTAAAAAAATCAAGTTAACCTTGGAATTCCCTCCCACCATTACAGAAAAACTATACAATATACTATGTAAATGTGTACCCTTCTTTACAAAAAAATTTTAGGCAGAATTTTTTCATAGCTTCACGCGCTTACGAAATATTTAACCGTTCTCAGTTAACTCAGACGTATTGTAGAGACGCAACTTCCGTTTAGGATGGGGGATATTAACTCTTTGACTGTGGCGCACTTTAACTAAAAACAATCACGTGTGGCTCGATATGCACATGACAGGCAAAGAGAGCGTATATGTACGCCTTTTGTATTTAATGATGGATATGTGAGGGCGTTCATACAGTGTGTCCCAAAAAGATGGGACAATCCGCAACATGCATATTCCTCGTGCAAATACAAATCAAAACGTCCTTTACCGTCTTGTAACCTGAAGCTCCATTTCCGAGATATTGGCAGTTAAACAAACGCGAATCAGCTGAGCGATGGGCCACACGTATCCTTACGAGCAAACTCGGCTTCCATTAGGGAAAAAAGTGACATAGGAGATGGGCCTTTTTTTACCACTTGGTAAATTTATTTCAAGTTCTCAAATAAATGTTAAATCGCACGTTAATTTGGCATAAAATTCAGTAGCTTCCAAAACTAAATGGTAAGAGGTCCTTCATTTACCTCACTTTTTCTCCTAACCGAAGCCGAGTTTGCTCGTGGGTGTACGTGCAGACAGATACAGTCAAGAAGCAGAGGCCAGTGACTTGAGACCAGAGTTGGGCAGAATTTTATTCGAATAATACACAGTGAAAAGCAGCAGCATCTAAGAGTATCGTTTTAAACAGTTAATGAGATTAAATAATTGTTCGACAAATGTCAATTCATTCATAAAGCAGTATTATTTTATTATAAAAATTGAAATTTCCACATTTAAACAATTAAAAATGACGAAATACTTTTTTTTATCTTTTATTCGTTATTCGAAACTTTTCATCTAGATAATTAATTTGCCCATCTCTGCTCGAGACGTGTGCTTCTTGATTGTGTCTGCGCATGTGTGTGAATTTGTCTAACTGCTGGTCGTAGTGGAAGTTGTTGTGGGAACAGAATAAAACTATTTTGCTGTAAATAGAAAGGAAAAGGAATAAATATTTATTTTCTAACCGATTGCACAGATTTTAATTGTTGTTGTTGTTCAATACCACTTAGATTGTGCTGGGCCAAGGTTGCAGAATCTATATGGGGCAATGCGTGTCGCGTAAGGCGGGCGCCGTCATCACAACCGGACATTGCGAATCGCTCACGTACCGCATCATGGATAAACCCTCCAAGGTAAGAAATTTACACACAACTTTTGTAGTTAGATTCTCAAAGAAAAGTACTTGTGCTCGAACTCCAGGAACATCGATTCGTTGGAGTCGTAGACATGGTGGTTGTCTTACTTCTACGCGCAATCGTATTTAATTATGATTACAGAAAAAGTTTCGGATCGAAACTTCGAGGGGTGGTTTCGCCCCTTAAAGTCGCGCCTCAGCCGATAAAAAAAAATACGTATCCCTTATTTTTGACTGCTTAACAAACATACGAAGTTTCATCAAAATCGGAGGAGGTCGCATCCGTGCCTTCTCTTGCAAGTCACATTTTTTTTATGGTAAAACGGGTAGAAAATTAGAATTTTATTGAGCGGTCGGTCGAAATAACTGATTCACGTGAAAACAAGCGCGTCTTCAATTGTCTCATAACCCACTGAACATTTCACAGGAACGAATGCGAATGAATCGGTGAAAGCCGGTGGAATTTTCCAGGCGAACGAGAATGAACGATCGCAGAATTGGCAGGCGGTGTAGAAATCGTAATAAAACATCATACAAAATGTAATTTGTAGTTGAATTGAGAAAGTCGTTCGTTGATTTTTCAATTACAGTAATTGTGACCATCAAGAAATATTTCCACCTTCAATGATTCCGAGTTGTTAGAGTAGAAGTAAATAAAAACAGTTTGCGTTTGAAGAAAGGCCTCTTTGGGGACTGTCAAAGGTGTTCTACCCCCTTAACAAAATTATTGTAACCGATTAAATTGTCGAGGTATGTCGTTCATTAGATACTCCCAGTAAATATTCATACATTCATAGAATTTTTAAGCATGCCTTCAATTACAAGTGATAAATAAATTTGTACACTATCAAGATTCACTGAAATACTTCTCATTTGCTACACGTTGCCCATGTGACGTTGCAACCGTAGTATGTCTTTCTCCGCGTGTTTGACCACTGGTTTATTTCATTACCAGCAGATTTTAGTATTTTCTTCGCACAATATAAGTGAAGACATTACATGATAGGTGATATTAAATGCAGTTACCCTATATGTTACACGTCTGCGAGTAAATCATTTGGAGTACGTTTATCATATTACACGAGTAATCGAGAATTTATTGTGTTACACGGATATTATAAGTGAATGAACGCCGAGTACTTAGAATTTGATACGGCGCATCGGTCACCGCAACGCAATAGTATACGTGTGTCTTTAACTGTATGCATATAGCGGAAAAGCCAGTTGATTCTACGAGATACCAGTTGAAGGTCATGCACGTCAAGGTCAATGTCCTTACCGTCCTTTCGAGCACTATAAAACCGAAACATTTCCATGAAACACGGACACGAAGATATTTCTGTTTATTTGAATGGTCCAGTTAACATTGAACCGCTTGCTTAACCTTTCGTTTATACATACACATACATCGGGAAGTCCGATGGTCGGGTCACTTTCCACCCAGATTTAAATCTGAAGTAATTTAAAACGTAATCTGAAATGAGGATTATATGTTTGTGTATTGTCACTTGAATCTCAGTTTGTATTATAATACATTTAAATTAATATTCTCTTATAGTAAAAAAAAAGATCTTATAATCATCTATTTTATTATTCTAATATTGTCTGCAATATAAAAGATGCCTATAATTCTTTATTCTATTATTCTGCATTTTGCGCAATAGAATGGATGAGCAATAATAATAATAGTACAAATAGCGTTCTAATTAAAGAGAAGCACTTGAAATTGCCAAAAAAAAATTACTTCCTTTACACGTCATCAATTTCATGCGAACAAAGCTAGCATGGTGATTCGTTCTCACGGATCAGATGTGATACGTGAAAGTAATTAATTGTTAACTTCATCACCATTGGTAATTCACTCGAGCGTAGTGTATCTCGTTTGCTTTCATTATATCCGCTTTCCATTGTTCTCCGTTATGCTGGTTGATTCCATGCCAGGCATCCGCTAGCCGGAAATAAGCTGGAAAAATGCGAAACCTGTAACATCGACCTTACGTTCGGGATCCGCAGCAGAAGTTTCTCCATTTTTATCCAAATTTTTTCCGTCGTGGCAATCTCCTTCGACACCTTCGTTTTTCTCCTAGCCGTAGGAGCCACGTAACGCGTTAATGCTCGAAGCGTTGAAAAGAATTTACATATGCATCGGTAGCGAAGCCATCAAAAGGTTCGGTTATAAGTGTCAGTCGTCATCTTGATAAAATTTCGCAGCCATTAGCTCGGTATTACCTTCAGTTGACAATACTTTACCGAAGATAATACCAGTTGCCCGGGTCTCACCACGAGGAGGTTGCTGCGAGTGGAAACCCAAAGAAAGCTAGATGGAACCCAATCCCATCTATGTAACCGTAGTTACATCGATGGAATCATTAGTTTCATCTACCTTCCTTTTTACAAAGTCTTACAAATAACTTAAAAGTAACTTAAATTTAGACGCTTTAATGTTGATTTCCCTTGGCGGATGGCTTCTTTCTTGAGTCCACCTGAAAATAAAATGAAGATTCCTCGGCGGATGATCGATGTATCCTTTCTTGAGCTTACACTAGTTTTACGATCGACTTAACTTAACTTATTTACAAATACCCCATTTATCTGTATACCAAGCAATTATTAGAAACAAAAAGTGTGCATATTCTCTGAAGGAGAATATGTTTCAGAGAGTCGATACTCTCGGAAGGAGAGCCCCGATTCTCTCTGATGCTAAGTGGAGAGCAACGGCAGTTAAAGTAATAACTACTCGGTATGCATTACAATTATTTTACAATGGGTTTGCAGCCATTCGCTCGGCATTATCCTCGATTTACAAAAATGCAAATTGAGCATAACACCGATTACCGGGTCTCACCACGTGGAGGTTGCTGCAAGTGGAGACCCAAGGAAGATAGATGGAAACACAAGTTCCATCTATCTACCCTTCACAATAATCTTACAACTAACTTAGATATCTAAATACGCTTATACTATAAATATCTAAATCCCTCGGCGGATGGCTTCTTTCTTGAGTCTACCTGAAAATAAAATGAAGATCTCACGGCGGATGATCGACGACTTCTTTCTTGAACTTATACTAGTCTTACTTACAACTAACACATTTAACAGTATACCGAGCAATTATTACAGGCAAAAGGAGTACATATTCTCTGAAGGAGAATATGTTTCAGAGAGTCGATGCTCTCGGAAGGAGAGCACCGATTCTCTCTGAGGTAAAGTGTGACTCGAATCGA